GGTTTTGGGCTAGTAGAAGTTATGAATGGCCGGTAACTTAAAAATTTTGTAGCCAAATTGGCTGGTAAGTGAAAAAGTTAATTTAAATTCCTGGATGTAACGATTAACTGCGAGCCGGTTGAAAATCGATTCAAATATGTGACGATTCAAATCGGTTGAGATGCTAAACAAATCGCGATTCATTTAGGGGTAGGAGTTTATATGAATGTATGTCTGAAGGGAACTTACGGTCTTTAAAAAGTGTAGATGGTATTTTTTCTTTTATCTTGCCTCTGTATAATGCATATTAAAGTTCATAAGTGCAGCGCTGCTTTGTTTACAGCGGAAACAAAGGAAACGCTTTAAGCGCCACCTGCTGGCAGAGAGTGAATCTGCGTCTCATTCAGCTCGTCTGCTGTTTCTGTTTCATGCAGATATTTTTATTTATAGTTTCACAAAACTGAAGTCAAACCATACTGTGTTTGCTTCAAATTTCGAAATTATACAATCTAATTTAGATTAAAAACTGCTCATGCTGCACGTATGCAGCATCTTTGTTTGGATCATGATTAAAATGCAGTGGTTGCCTCTAATTTTAAAAGGAAAGAGCACAGACAAAGCCTTAGTTTGTTTAAATTAAGAGATTTATTTGATTTGGGGCTTGTTTTAAAATTTTTATTTAGTTTTGTTATTTATATTTACATTATATTTAAATTGTGTCATTTAGCAGACGCTTTTATCCAAAGCGACTTACAAATGAGGACAATAGAAGCAATCAAAACCAACAAAAGAGCAATAATATGCAAGTGCTATTAGTATATTATTAGTGTTATATTTCAATTTCACAAATAAATGTGCAACATTTTGTCCAAGCAATAATAAAAGGACACATTTAATTTATAATTTGTCTTAAATCTCATTTTGTAAAAAAAAAAAAGATAACCGTGAATCGAATCGTGAAATCAAAATCGTGAATCGAATCGCGAGTTGAGTGAGTCGTTACATCCCTAGTCAATACTATCACAAAATCAAGGTAGGCAAAGTTTGTTTACCAGTTGAACAAACCAAAAGTACGATGGTAAGTCACTCACTGCCATTAAAACTTAAAATATTAGTTTTGGTTTTTGTGGTTAATTTGTCTGATCTACATTTCAAACAACAAACTGTGTGTCACAGTAATTACACTACTACTCCCAAGTAATGAAACCTTGCATAGACCTCACTAAATCTTTAAACACTTGTCAAATAATAACTCTCTTATTAACATTGACTTAGAAAAAATATTGGGTTGAGTTGAAATTATTCTAATATACAAAATTCTATGTAATATTTATAAAATAAACATTAAATGGGTTGTAAATGTTCACTGAATTTTCAAAATGCACACATTTACAACTAAATTTTAAAAAGCTTCTATTTATTTCCCTTAACAATATACTTGATGTTGCATAGGCCTAATTATTCAGTAGATGCTTAGTAGTTCATAAGGGAGCACCTTCACCCGTCTTACCCTCCTGCTAAAATCTTTAATATCTTGAATGCATTTTAAGACTCGGTCAATCAAATTATTATCAAATAAAAATAACAGCACATGCGCCACGCCACAAAGACAGTACAACATGCTAATGCTAATGGCTACAACAGACATATGTGATAACCTGCAACTCGCTAATGGCTAATTAAGCAAACCATGATTAATGCATTAAAATGACGTTGACCAGCTTTGTTTGTTTGTTGATGCTAATTTAAGTGAGGATCAAAACAAACCAGCCAAAGACGAGCGAGCAAACTTCACTTTTTGTACATATCGCGGCAGATCAGATCTGAAATGTGTGGGATGTACGGCTCGTTTTGTAAAACCCGAATATAATGAATAAAATATGAACATACCCGATGATCATGTTGCACCGATATAATTAATTTAGCTTGTACATAAATTTCACGATACTACTTTTTTTGGAAAACAGAAAGTACCAAATTCTAACCCTATTACCGTTTCCGGGTAGCGGAAGTCGTCATAGAGCCACGGGGTTAAAGAAAAAAAATATATATAGCGGAGAACAGGAGATTAGCAAATATTATTTTTGTATCTATTCGCATAAACAACAAAAGGAAAAAGTCACGACTGCTTTTTTTTTTTTTTTTTTTTTTTTTCACGAAGAGAGGGAAAAATATAGAGAGAGGGCTATACAATCAGAGAGAGAAAACAAATAGAAAAATATCAAATTTACAGTCACTCCCACAGCCTCTGTTTACCTCTGGTTAGCAGGTTCCTGTTAGTCGCGGCTGGTAACGTTAGATGCTGGAACTACATCCGACAGCATGTTTCTCCATAGACACTCTTTCAAAAATAGACATGATTTCTGATGAAATAAAATGTCTTTCCTGGTTAGAAATATCATTCGAAAAATCATTAAAATGTAACCCAAAGTAAAATATCAGGCTATAACATAAAAAAGCGCAAATTTTGAGCTACTTGGACAAGAAATTAATTTGATCTCTCTCTTTCTCTCTCTCTCTCTTTAAATTTAATTTTGAAAAAACCCTCAAACCCATCTTAAAGTCCACGTGAACTGGAAGTGTGGATCGAGGGCAAATAGCGGCCGCAAAGGGGGCACTCGCGAGCATGTTTCTGAATGCTCAAATGAGGAATGGGAAACCCTAGTCTCATGGACTTAAAGGGATAGTTCACCCAAAAATGAAAATTAGGCTGTGTTTTACTCACCCCCGAGGTATAGGTGTATATGACTTTCTTCTTTCAGATGAATCCAGTCGGAGTTATATAAAAAATTGTCCTGGCTATTCCAAGTTCTATCATTGCAGTCAGCGGGTGTTGCATGCATCAGTCCAAAAGAAGTGAAATAAAAAGCGCCCATCCATAAAAAAAAATGTCTCACACGGCTCCAGGGGGTGAACAAAGGCCTCCTGTAGCGAATCGATGCATGTTTTTATTTGTAAGAAAAATAACCATATTTAAAATGTAATAATCACTTGAATCTAGCTTGCGCTCACTGTTGTAAACGGAAGCAGTTCCGGGCGGATGACGTATGGAGGTCAGCTTTGCACATGCGCCGCTCAGAAGTGACGCATACGGAAACGCAGCAGAGAGATCAAAACAAAACAACGGTCACTAATTAGTACAAAACGAGGATTTGTAAAGAAGAATGTCAGAGGATTTCGATATAAGCCAAGAGGAGACTGGTTTTCCTTTGCTAAAGTATGGAAACTTTGCTTCCTTTGATCCTGTAAACAAATGTTGGTCGACTCACCAATGTTTGTTGCGACTCGGTGCATGCGCAACGCTGAATTCATACGTCATCAGCCCGGAGCTGCTTCTGTGTACAACTGTTGGTGCAAGCTAGATTAAAGTGATTATTACATTTTGAATATGGATATTTTTCTTACAAAAACGCATTGATTCGCTACAGGAGGCCTTTGTTCACCCCCTGGAGCTGTGTGAGACACTTATTTTAATGGATGGGCGCTTTTTATTTCACTTCTTTTGGACTGATGCATGCAACACCCGCTGACTGCAATGATAGAGCTTGGAATAGCCAGGACAATTTTTAATATAACTCCGACTGGATTCGTCTGAAAGAAGAAAGTCATATACACCTATGCCTCTGGGGTGAGTAAAACACAGCCTAATTTTCATTTTTGGGTGAACTAACCCTTTAACGGACATGCGCATGTGGCCATTGTAAGTCCGTAAGTGCACATGAAGTGTTCCATTTGGGACAGGGCCCATGTCATCAGGTCCGACATTTCCTGCTTTCCGTATTGTGCTGAACCAACGTCATTCATGGCTTTTTTATTCTTCTTATCTTTAAGAGTCTCAAAATAGTGAGTTAGTTCACTTTTGAATAATACGACGTTAGGTTTATTATTTGCACAATTTTGTTTGTGTAGCTGTATGAAATTTTACAAATATTCCAAATATAAGTTAACCAGAACGTTTTCTTCCAAACTTTTACTCTTATGCAATACGTATATATATTTTTGTTAATGTTTTGTTTAAATATCAGA